ATCGGCCGGTTCAAGCTACATTAAGACCGATTTATTAGTCCGTGTACCGATGCACTCGCATCTTTTAAATCAAAATCGATTTTCCGATTCAAATCGGTTTTTGTTACACCCCTAATGGCTACCAAAACTGGAACCCATAAGGTTCGATATGGTTGGCCAGATGTTTCTAAAAAAACTTTTGAAAAAAAACTTTTTAGGAGTTAGGCTGATAGGAGTTAGGGTCTGGGCACCAGAACATAATCATGAGAGGTGTGCCTCAGCCTCAGAGACACACAGTAAGTACCATCGCCATGGCAACCCTTAATAAATTCAATATAAATTCCCTGTATCGTTCTCTTGACACCAATCATTCAGGCACACTCAAAATGTATTTTCTAGTATAAATCATATAATTTTTTACACTGTTTTGTTTTTTGTGAGGTAAATATGCTCTTTCAATACGTAGGATCACTATATTTTTATATTCAGCCCGCCTCAGCTACACCTCTTTGACCTTTTTTGGGACTCAGTCAGGTCTGCAAAGATGGTGACGGCCAAAGCTGATCACACAGAGCTTCACAACGGCTCTTCACAAACCTAACAGTAGTCTCTGTTTTTTATTTATACAGTCTGTAGCGCAAATACAAACTGCAGACCATCAAAGAGCTGTTAAAGCCATCTGATGGTTCAGATCATAGATATAGAAACACAGATACCTCATTGGCCGCTGCTGTATGTTAGCGCCATACGACTGCATGGTCGCATTATTGCAGAGGTCAAGATCTGCTAGTTATCAATATTGAGAGATTCAGACTGCACTACAAAGTGGACTGTAACTCACTTAATTCTGATTAGCTCTGCCCCCAGTGACTGAATTAATTCCAACCAGTATCAGGTTCAGTTTCTCAAAAAAAATCTCCCCAATGTGGCGACTGTGCAGACACATGTCAAATCTAAAACGTGGTTGAACTTTTTTATATCCATGGTTCAGAAGACAGAACGTCTCATCTCTCTAAAAACGTGTTTCCTCACATCTATTCCTGCAATTTCTCAAGTTGCAATCAAGAAAACTGTCCTGAAGAGGACCTAAAGTAGGCGAGATAGTGTCTGCTTGGATTCAAAGGCTAATTATGTGATCATTGTAGTTGGTGTCCTAATGCCTTCAAGAAACTCAAATCAGTTAAAACTTTTTTTGCTATCACTCTTTCTTCTGTGTCCAGACCTGGGGCTCTGTGCAGGAGGGTGCGTCCTGTCCAGACGTCCAGTCCTTTCTGTCTTCAGTGGACCAGTTCATCAGTAATCTGAGCTCGGTCAGAGTCAACATGGAGAGAAAGTTCCAGCTGCAGCAGGTCGACCTTCCTGATGCCATCAACCAGCTGAGCTGCCCTGCTGACTACACAGCCGCAGGTAGGAGGGTCAGCAACCTCCTCAACCCTAAGGAGCCCCAGTCAGTGTTACAGCTTCTGCTATGGCTGCTCTAACTCTAAAAACTGAGGCAATATATGATAATTTATTCTTTGAAATGACTAAAACAATGCCAGAATGAGGAGATAAGTACACTCAATGTGGAACTATAGAGAGGCTTAAAGGAAACAAGATGAATCTAATTCCTCGTTAAGCTCAGAGTCATACCTGTAGAAAGTGTTCCAGTAATGTCACATTTTCGTATCAGTTCAGTCGGACGGCGATGTGATCCCACAATATAACCATATACCAAAAACCTCAACCACAGTAAAAGTTTTGGAAATACAGCTTGTGTCTTTGCTCTCAGCCAATAACAGCGAGCTGGTGGAGCGTCTGGAGGCCGTGGTCTCAGTGTGGATCAATCAGATCAAACAGGTGCTGACGGAGAGCGAGCAGATGAGGAAGGAGGCCGATGACGTGGGACCATCAGCAGAGCTGGAGCACTGGAAGAGACGCATGGTCACCTTCAACAGGTCCGTTTATGTTTCAGTTATCTGTCCATCATTTATACTTTAAGACATTTTCTTTTATATCTTGTCTCCAATAGTCTGACGTCATTTAGTTTAGTCCTAATATTTTGTCATTTTAATTTTACATTCATTCAACAGTTTATAACATCAGTAATGCTGATTAAAATGTGTGTGTGTTTGTTAGTCTGATGGAGGAGGTGAAGCGTCCTCAGGTGAAAAGGACTCTGGGAGTTCTGCAGGTCACCAAGTCGCGAACTCTACGAACCTGGAGAGAGCTGGTCTGAAACGACACTCTTTTAAATTAACTTATAAATGAATTAAGCAGTTAGATTTACGTTGCTATTAGATGATTGATTGATTGATTGATTGATTGATTGATTGATTGATTGACTGCTTGTGTAAGGATGGGGACATCACTGTCGTGGCTAACGAGGCAAAGGACAATGTGAAGTATCTCTACACTCTGGACAAGTTCTTTGGACCGCTGGGGAAATGCACTCCGGTAAAAATAAACTTTATTATTTTATATTTTATATATGTTTATTATTATTTCTTTATATTCTGTCCTTGGATTCAAACCAGCAACCTTCAACCTGTCTGTGACCTGTTGATGATTTTCTCTTTTTACCCATGTTTTATTTTCAGATTCAATAAGAGTAAACTCTAACCCTTAATACAAGAAATATTGCAGATAAATAAAATAACGTGAATTAGCTCAAGTATCTCATATTTTAGGTTTTAGAAGCAGAGTTGATAAATTTGAATAATAGAAACAAATCTGTGTCAATATGTGCAATAATATATCCAAAACACGCATTTTAGGAATTGTACAAAGTAGGTTTCATCCACAGAGTCAAATTTATACTACATTTATTTCTCAACAGTGAAGGTGGATTTCCAATACAAATAGGATATGAGATTTAAGATATATGTTTTCATTTTGGAATCATATTTTGAAATATTTCTGAATTGTTGCTCGCACACGTAAGATAAACACATAATAGATGTAGCTTTTTCTCTATATATAATTATACAGTTTGTATATATATTTCTTGTATATATATATAATATTTTGATGTTTTTCCATTTTCAACAACACCTTCCTTCCTCTCTCTCTCTCTCTCTCTCGCTCTGGTAGACCAGTATGCTGGAGCACATCCCCGGCCTGATGACTAGTATCCGGATGATCCACACTGTCTCTCAGTATTACAACACGTCAGAGAGAATGACCTCTCTGCTGCTCAAGGTCACTAACCAGATGATCACCACCTGCAGGTGCTACCTGTTGCAGGGCGTGGCCCGCATCTGGGACCATAGCAGGTACAGAAGACTAGACCACTTGACCTGATTAGAGAAGATAAATCTAAATCAGTCCAAACTATATCATTTGAGATAAGAATGGTGTGTGTCTCAGGCCGGAGCTGCTGCAGCGTATCTCCGACTGTTGCAATCTGAATGCGGAGTATCAGAGGAGCTTCCAGGCCGTCAGAGACAAACTGAAAGAAAATCCAGAAAACAGACAGTTTGACTTCAGGTAAAGGAGCTTCCAGTGTAACTGAAAACTTTTACCTCTAGTTCTTCTTTTATTTCTCTGTTTCTTTTCCCCTCAGTGAGAACTACATCTTTGGGAAGTTTGATGCTTTCTGCAGGCGTCTGGAGAATATTGCTGACATGGTGTCTTCACTGGAGAGCCTGGCTGCTCTGCAACACATGAAGGTGAGCTGGTTTTTAAGTTCATGAATATTTAGATATTGTTAAAATAGATACTAATATCATCAGTGTAAAGGTATATTTTCCTGTTCTATTCTCTTTTTTTCCATCTTTTAATGTCATTTTAATTTTCAAACTATGAAATATTTTACTTTTGTTCATTCCTTGAAGAGCAGGTGAGAATTATTTATTTTTGGATGGATATGATTGGATATGATTTTGATTTTGTGATCTCCAGTTATGCACAAATATGTTTTTTATGAAATTCAAAAGATTTTTCTTTATTGACATGAATTTCCTTTTAGGTACCTGCTGATAAATTACGTTAGAAAAACAAAGTGTACCATGTCTCCTCTTAGATTTTTCTCTAATCAGCTAATATGTATTTTAAAGTAACCTGATGGTTTGTTGATGCAGTTTGTCGAACACACAACATGTGAGTGAACAATGATGACTGATTGAAACTGTCTTCCAGGTGGAGGGCATTGAGAAGATTTATGTTCGCTACCAGACCATCGTCTCAACAACCAAGTCCAAGACCTATGACATCCTGGACCACCGAAAGCTGGAGGTAAGATTATAAAATGTTGTATAAATACTATATACAGTAAATAGACGCGGAATGATTTGCAAGAAATAGAATAAATAAATAGCCTGGCCCACCAGACTCTATTAGCAAAATCAGTAATTTTTACTTCTCAGATAATTGTTTAACACACATTCAACCAGGACAGAACCAAATTTACCAACTCTGGGTTGATTGAAATAAATTCTAAATTTAGAAGTTAGATGTTATTCATTACGCTGGCTGCAATGGTGGCAATGTAATCCTTAATGCCGTCAAAGTGCGTCCACTAACAGTAGTTGTTGTTTGTTCCACTAACAGTAGTTGTTGTTTGTTCCACTAACAGTAGTTGTTGTTTGTTCCACTGACAGACTCAGGTTGTTATTGTCAGTGTCTGACAGCATTATGAAAGGATCCCTACAGAGATAGACCTTTAGTTTAACCACAAACAGCC